GCTTTAATGGAATGCTGACAGAGGGCAAGTTGGAGAGGTAATACATTTCCTGCAAAATGCCAGTGGATACCACATAAATAAGGCAGTGTTATTCCTGACAGAAACTCTACATGGAGCTGTGGTGTGATCTACGGCTGAATGACCCGGTTAAAGAGCAGCAGAAACCGCTGACAGCTTGATCAAGATTACCTCTCTAAAGTAGTATAGATCAAGTCTTTAGCCTTCTCACCAACCCTAGAGGTGATGGTATGAAATGGTGATGGTATACGATAATACTCAACAAGGATGAGCATCTATCAGTGTTAGCAGGGGGATATTAGTGTAGTGTACCAATAATGTCCTGAGTTGTTTACCCAGAAGGCATGCATTAACAGAGGTATGGGAATATTGCTTATTTGAAGTATAAATTTGAGTTGGCTGCGTAAGAATGATATACATGAGCCATGATGTATGAATTGTCTCTAAAAAATGACTACGAATGTATTCTGTCCTGTCGGGAAATTTTGTTTTATATTTCCATCATCTTTCTCAGCAAATCAAATTGTATTTATTATTACTCAGCAGCTCTATATATATTTGACCAGTAAAAATGTATCTTTATGGTTGCTTGTATTAATTAGAGATATTCTGGTATCATTAGTGTAATTTAGTGCTCACTAGATTAATGGCACGGTGGCATTTATCTATGAAACATTATATCTTGATGTTAAATTGCAATAAAAGAACCTGTATATTTGCAGATATGGCTGTCCAAATCTAACGGAGGGGGATGGGGGTGTAGTTGACATCCATTAAGGAAATCCTTTATTGGCACATAAAATGAGAGGCAATTTTTAGCCTTACTTGCCTTTGGCAACCTAACCCATAGCCTAACATTAAAAGGAGGACTCTTAGGGGGAAATACCAAGTCAGCAGTAAAGAAATATTTGTGTTTATGTATTAAATCAGCAACTCAACTTCAGCACCAAAACATGTTTTAAGTGTTAATAATCTACCTAAATGATGGAATAACACGCTCAGCCATTGTCACTCATTTTTTTTGTCTGATCACCACTCTCTGAATATCCCGTTGTTTCACTACATCACTTTCCTCCCCTAAAATTAGGCATTTCTTCTCTATATTCAATGTAGTATATTCAATAACTAATTATGGTAATTCATTACATCTCCAATTAGCAGAGAGGCTTTATCGCCGCACTGTACCGTAAAGAGCAGGATTTATGTTGGCTTTGAATGTCACCCAGCGGACAGAGGACTAGCTCATCACTCAACAGGAACAAAACAGAGAGACAGGAGCAAGGAAAAAATAGTGGGAAGAGGGAAAGAAAGATACAGTGAGTTATTGGTTAATGAACACATTTTCCTTCACATTTTCTCACAACCTTGAGAAAACCTTGACAAGGCCCCTTTTGTCCAAAGCAAACCAAAAAGGAGCAGATTACCCCGACAGATAAAATTGTTTTAAAACTTTGGTATTTCAGTGAGGAGGCTGTAAAAAGATATGTACAGTATGTATGTAACCTCGGAGGGATTTGCCTGGCTAACACCACCTCGCCTGCTGTCAAACAGCCCCTCAGAGGGTGATAAGCATCCCTGCTATTTGTGTGGGTGGCTGTCTTATTAGTGTACAAGCAGCACAGCCAACCATCTGCTCGCTGTGATCCTCCACCCAGCAAGGTCTCTCAGGTGTCATAAAAAAACTGTCCCTTTCAAGCTTGGAACAAAAGTGCTGACCAGATAAATAAACTAATTTTTAAAAATAAATTAATATTTTTTTCATTTATCCAGGGAGTTGTGTACATGTTTGGTGTGCATGCAGGATTTGATATTGACAGTAGCCTGATGTTAACTGCAGAGAATTACAAAGAGAAAATGTGATTCCATTGGGTTGAATATTATTGACAAATGCACTTTTTCCTTATGTCTATTCGCATGTTAATGGTTTATTTCCCAAGAAAATACTTAGACAAATCTCCATCGCATTGGTTTTTTCATTAATTTCTGCTGTTAACGTTCTTCCTGTCTCTTGTCAATTGTTAATGTTAATTCAGTCTGCAAACATAATTTAAAAACTTGTGTATGACATTTCTGCCTTGAGCATCTCTGCTACAGAGGCAGTAATCTATGACCTTTGAAGAGACTCTATTGCCACCTTGTGGCTTAAATCGCAGGTTAAATAACAATAATTAAAAGAAATGCTCTGAAACAACAGATATGTTTAAATCTTTAATTTTTTAACCATTTGCAAAATTTCAAATTTGCCAAAAGCAGTGAGTGAAATAGTGTGGAATAACTGTATCTTGGATAGGAAACAAATACAAACAAGCAGTGCAACATGCAGATACTGTAGAAAAATACTCCTAAATATGTATTTCAGTCATAGGAAAATCTTTTCATCCAATCATCAGTCTTCTACAGTTGATACGGGAGGGAATGATCCTGGAAATTACACAAAGTACCTGTTAGGTCAAATGGGTTGAATTCAGATATACATTTTGATCCTAAAACAAATGTAAGAGCCTTGTTCACTGCAGTCATGAGGTCTGAGCAACTTACATGAGGTGTATTTATAGGGCGTAAAGCTCCATCAGGAAGTCTTTGGGGACGATTCCTACTGTTCCATTCTTCTCTCCGACCCACCAGCCAAAGCTCTGGTACTCCTGAAACAGGACCGAATGGAAGATGATAAGAGTGAGTCCACGTCTCCTCGTCATTTCTAATCATGGCTGTCCTCAACTGAAGAAATTCTAAGTCGACTAACACTCATACGATCTTATATAGTAATCGATTCGTTGATTTAATTGACAGATCTTGAAAAACAATCATTAGAAATGGCTATTCAGCTGAAGAAATCTTAGTCAACTAACACCAAAAGAATCAATTAGTCAACTAAGAGGGGGCAGCCCTACTTTTAATTAATGTAGTCGCCATTTATCATCACACCACAGAGCTGAGGTTTATCTTAAAATTATTAAATGTTGTCTGATGGGAAAGCTCCATAGAGCAGCAGTTATTTACAAAATCTCCTTTGTTTTCTTTTTACTCTCACCTCCATCCCATCAACAACTTCACATCTCCTGTTCCCTGTCCTGCCTCTCTACCCGCCATCGCCTTTGAGACTGCACACACATCCGCCACACAAAAACCTCAGTGTGCATAGAACACATCACACATAAATCTGTCAAAGCATGACAAGTAATAGCTCCAAATGGCTGTCAGCATGCTGAGATGCGAGGGGAACACTGTGAGGGGAGATCTGACACAAGAGGAGAGAGTCTCTCTCTCTCTCACACTCACTCACTCACTCTCACACACACACACACACACACACACACACACACACAGAGCCTGACCTCACATCAAAGCCTTCCCATGAATCAGCACTGGGGCTCATGTACTAACAAGGTTGAAGGAAGAGGAACCCGCACAGTGTTTCAAATCTATGCCAAAACTCGGGGACGAGGAGGGACCACATCTGTGTCCAGTTATTCCCAGGAGAGAGTAATGGATGCAAGTGATCTTATGGTAGGATTAGACACAAGAACATCACAATAGTTATGGCTAGCACTGACCGTTGTGTGGAGATGGCCCATTCATCACGTCAGATAAAAAGGCGCTTGACTCACTGTCCATGTCAAATATTTATACACAGGACATGAATACAGTAAAAAGTAATTTAGTAGATCTTAATTCTCAACAGCAAATCAAACATCACAAAAAAAATGAAAAAAATAATTAATGTGTCTCATGATTAAAATGACATTTCACAAGCCCCCGAGGGATAATATAGCAGATTGACATAAGGTGTGTGTAAGAGAGCCAGGGCGCGAGTGCACGTTATGACTTCCTGCAGCTAGCCTTTGAAAAAACGCAACACCTCATTGTGTAGTTCTGCCTCGCAAATAAGTTGTGCTCGAGTGAGTGCGGCACACAGCATGAGAACATATAGACGGAGCTGTGGAAGACTAATGACACCACACACTGTGACAAAGCACACATTACCACACAACTGGACTGTCCCATGATGTAATTACTTATGCCAAATGAACCGCTCCACAGCTGATGCATCAGTTTATAAGCACAAACTGTACGACAAGTGATGAGGTGAAAAGATGTGCAGGCACGATAACAACGGCAGTAACATGTTTGGACAGTGTTTACTTTTTATCAACCCATCCAGCCACTTCAGTTAAGTGAGATGTTACGTCTCTTGATTTGTTTTATGTGCTGTGACTTGGGAGGGACGAGGGGGGTGGTGCAGCATATTCGGACAACACACTCTCCCTCACTCCCAGTCAAGCCCTATAGTCAACACCCAGGTCCTGAATGGGGGGTCTCGCAGCTGTAACACTACAGCCATTTCTGGCCTCTGGAATGGGGGAGGGACACAGGGTAGAGGGGGGAAAGTAGATTGGGGGGGGGGCGGGGGGGGGGGGGGGAAAGGAGTCGACTGTCCCTTAAGCTGCAGCTGGCTGCTGCAGTCCAGACAGGTTTTATGGTCATTGCCCTCGCAGCAGGCCACAACCCCCAACACCAAGGTTTCAGCTAATGGCACTCCCAGTCTGAGTGAAAGGGCAACTTAACTCTTGGTTCTTCTTCACACACGAAGAAGGAGTCATAAACGGGCATTTGGCCGATGAGTATAGATGGTGTCTGTCTGCTTTGTGCATTTGTTCCCTGCAATTAGTGCTGAATCAATTCAATTTTTACAAAAGAGTAAAAATTTTGATGATCCATTGTATTTGCTCTCGTCATTTTTCAAACAAAAAAGCTGAACATCTGGGCTTCTTGACTGGGAACATTTGATGCCTTTTTATCTAGATGTTGTACAGTTGGTCAGTCAAAAAAAAAAAAAATCTAAAGATGTCAGCTGACGCTCTGGCAAATGTTGGTGGGTATTTTCCACTATTTTCTGACATTTTAAAAACGAAGCATTTAATTGATAAATCAGAAAAAACTGAGTCATCAATAATGAAAATATATTGTTCTTACAGCCTACGCCCTATGCTCCTGACTGAAAAAGAAATGTAATTATTAGTCAAAATTATAATTTAGGTTTTTACATAAAAACTGGAGCTGTCACGATTTTCAAATCTTCATGGCTTTTACATACCACTAGATGGCAGACTTGAATTTGGCAAAGGATCTGGCCAGCTGACAACAGTTGTCTCAGTTGACTTCATGCTTCATAGAAAACAAACCAGACAGGAAATATAGCCAGTCTAGATGGAGCGCATGTCACACCTTTTTTTTTTCTTCACACAAACCACAAGGGTCTACATGCATCTGTAGAGTATAGAATTCCTTGACTTATTTGCAGTGAAAAAAAGCTTGTTAAATGTATCACATCAAAATCAAATTCCAGTTTCATATAAACTACTGAAGCACAAAAGGACTCCTGTTTAGTTACATAATAAAAGGCAAAAAACCTCCTCAGTTCTCAATACCTGGCACCCACAGCTAGCTGACAAGCCTCGGAAATTCTGCGTCCACTACACGTCCTCACCTGCTCTGAAATAGAGTGCCGGACTGAGCCTGGGTTTCCTGAGAACACACATTCCTATTTGGCGAGGTGAGAGAGATGTCTGAGAGGTGTGTGGGCTGAGGGCTGCTCACCGCCTGGCATGGCAGCAGCCGCAACGTGCTGAAACAGTGCAGATGGAAGTGATGGAATGGCGCTGTGTGCCAGCTGAGCTCAGCCTCCGCCAGCAGCACTAAAACAGTTTCCGTTGTGACACAACTAATCCCCGTCACTGTGCCAGGGAGAGAGCCACTAGCGCAGTCTGCCTCTTTACCATCAGTCGTCCACCTCCAGGCGGTGGGCCAGGTGCTGCCGGTAAAGAATATGAATAGTCGGTTCCTCTGAGGGCCTAAAAAAACACTCACTTTAGGTGGTCTGAGGCCAGTAGAACCACTCCGAATACAAACCCCATCTCATAACTTTTGCTTCACTGTTGGGTTTGAGTTCATCCTGGTTTCACTAGGCATCAAGAAAACACTCATTAAGGGACAAATCAATGTTTTACCCCTGACCATACCTTGCTCAGTATGTAGATGGAATCTCCACGCCTGAAGGACAACTCATCTGGGTGGCCCCCCGCACAGTCCCATAAGCCCTGGTAGAAGTTGGGGTAGTCTTTGCTTTTATCAACTGCATGGAAAAGCGGAACAACAGATTAGGTGCGATATTTTCTACTGCGAGTGACAACAATAAGTGCACATGTCAGACGCAGCAGTGATTGTTTGTGTGCAGCAAAACCAACAGGAGGCAGTGGAGAGCCTAAAATAGAACTGGAGGCAGACAACAGCTGTATGCCAAGTTCATACTACCTACTAGGTTTTGAGTATGTTCACACTGGCAAAGGGACAAAATGTACACTCAAAACAGTGTGCAGACTACAAAAACTTTGGATGGAGACTAAACATCTCCAAGGAGGGTCAAGGTTTCATAATGAGTCACTTCATTGAGGTGAAACACATGCATGCAGTCAAATCAGGTCTGCAGTTGCTGGAAGGCTCACTAGCTTGCGCACCATTACAGAACATGAGGATGATTTCATCGAGGCGTTTGCAGGGAGTGTGCCACAGCAGCCTACTTTATGGGTGAGGATTACCATTCTGCAATGATTGAAAAAGATCTTACATAAAAGACCATAAACAAATGCTTCATATTTGAAAACGGTATACTGTATATCTGCCGCCATCCATTTAAGCGTAACCCTCCATCATCTCAGCTCCAGTTACACTCCGTATGCGCCATAGCTCAAGACCATCTCCCAGCCTTCAATACATAGGCTGAAACACTCCTGGAACACCTCAGAAAACATATACAAAAAATATATAGCTTTGTCCCGGTCTGGATTCATTTGCAGTGACATTGTAAAGAAGACGATTAGTTGATTATTTGATTGACAAACGATTCATCGAGACATTTTTCAAGCAAAAGCGTATTTGCCTTTCCATTGTGAGGATTTGCTGCTTTTCTCGGTTTTATATAAATTAAACTGAATCTCTTTGGAGTTGGGACTGTGGGTCAGACAAAACTGTTATTTCAAAGATGTCACCTTTTTCTTAACTGTGATTGACATTTTTTATGATTATTTTTTTAATTATTTATTAAAAATTAATTAAATTATTTATCGATAATGACAAAAAATCATTCGTTTTAGCTGTACTGTAAAGCCACAAGTTGTTTGCCTTTGCACATCATATGTATTCCATAATTTTCTGTTAGTATGAAATAGTAAATATTTTTTGTTTTACCAACTGCAGAAAATAGAAATACTGCAAACCAAAAACATAACATTATAGTAGGCTGTACACAGTAGTAGGAATCAGGACACTAGGTTCTTGGTAGTTAATGTTAAGTGGGACCATTTCCTGTTTCCAGGAAACCCTCAGTGTGTGTTAATGTTGTGGGAAAGTTTAAATAGATAAAGTAGATAGACAGATGGCATGTTATTTTTGCACTTACACAACTTTAATACGTCACTTACTGCAAAAGGAAGTTGGCCAGCTAACAGTTATTTCCAGCATTGTGTTAACTTTCATTTTCACAGAAACTTCCTCTTTAAATGTCACTTCTTCCTAACCGCAGCTTAGAAGGTTGAATTATAAGTGACAGAATGTTAACTTGTGGATCACAGTTCCATTGTGTCTTCTGTCTATGTAGTGAAACTCACTACACTCTAATCCACAAACTAAACATACCACTCATATCTGGGCAGAACAAACACAAATGTCTGTGCTTTGTACCTGAAGCAGGAGGAGCAGGTTTCGCGGCTGGCTCCAACTTTGGAGGAGGCTTTGCTGGAGCGGGCATGTCATCCTCTGGAGAATCAAGACAAGATATTGATGGATGAGTGTGTGCTATGAATTAAGGGTTATGGTTACCTGTCGAAGTAGTGGGCAGAGAAATGGATATTAGCATTTTTTAAACAATATGAAAGAGATGCATGCAATTTGTTCACGTTCTGAAGGACAACAGAGATCGTCACAGTGATACGACGCGTGGTCGGACCTGGGAGCACTTCATAGATGTCTTCATCGATCAGCTCAGACTCAGCTATATCTTCCATGGGTCCAACATCGTCGTACACTTCCTGTTCCTCCTCTTCATCTTCTGGGATGATTCCCGTCATATCTACAAACAGGAAATAGTACATTTGACTTATACACACAAAAACTCGACTTATACTTATACTACACACACGCACACAGTACTTGATAGTAATAGAGAACGTTTTTGATTTTTAGTTTTTTAATTCATTAAGAAACAAATGTTGCAGTTTCTAAAGTTATAGAGCATAAAAAATGAGTTTTTCTTATGATTGAAACAGTTCAAACCTCTCAAAACAAAGTCTATCTGTTTCACCCATTCCTCCGCCTCTTTCGGCGATGACGCACAGAACTATGATGAAAGAGAAGAGAAATGAAAACTGCAGTCAGTGCAATATGCAGTTCTACATATATCAATTAACATAAACAAATAATACTGCATTTATGCATAGTAAAATGTTCCGCATGGAAGAGCCTGAATGTTAGAAACACTCATTTAGACTTTTTAAATATGCGCGTCAGGTTGAGCCACTGCAAAGGCAGCAGTGTCAAATGAATGAATAGCTTTTTAAGAATAACGAGTTAATGAAGTTCATGTACACACATGCCTTGCCAAGTTTTAAACATGGCACATCTCAAGTCCACATTTGTTTTTCAATTAGGAAGCACACTTAGAACAGCAGTGACTCAAATCATCACCAAGAGACGAGCGCACCTGATAGACTCGCTTGTCTGGAGCCGTTACTTCAAAGCAACAGTCTTTCTTTGAGTCTTTCCGTAAGGTGCTGTTCATTTGGACAGTGTACCCATCGATACTGAACTCCCCCTTCTGCTGCTTGTCTGGTTACAGGAAATGAAAACATCATCATTAATGGTTCAGATACAACAACTGCAATGTCACTTACAAAAGCATAATGCCAAATATCCATCCACTTCAAAAAGTACCTTTTTCACTGCCATAATAGTAGAAGGTATGATGACTTAGAGAGCACCATCTCTTCTGCCACTCGGTGCCAAAAAAACTGTGATCTGGGGAAGGACAACCAACAATCATCTCAACATAGAAGAGATAGTTCATTGTCTGGTTTATTTAGGGGGCAATCAGAGCTGTATGTTGCAAAAAATGTGAAAATGGCAAAGGGATTCTGGTTGTTAGATCATGTGATATCCTGGGTGTAGGTGGAGCTGACATGTTTTGCCTTTACACAGTTAATAGCCTGCTTTTTGTTCACATCCCTGAAGAGGACCTTGAAAGTGAAAACAAAACATCAATCTTTCTTTTGGGGCTCGGAGCTTACGGAGTGTCGACATCGTCTCCATTATAGGCGTCTAATCATCAAAGCACCCACCCTTTCTGTGCTTCTCAAGGTATCCCGCTTTAAAGACAGATGTCAGGTCCTGAGCCGCCACAGGTGGGGACTGATGGCCACCTGGTGAAGAGAAGTGTTTTCAATATGTAAAAGTGAAAATTACATTTGTTTTAAAAATGTTAAACATGAACAAATGGGTTTCTGACTAACGTCGTGTATTTAGTTCATCACATGTACGTTTGACTGATGTTTAAATAAGTAGTAAAAGCCATGGAAGCTCCACTCAGCAATATTTTGCTTCTCCCTGGAGGAGATTCCCCTTGCAGCGTGCAACTTCAATGCAAATGTTCAACTGCTGTGTCAAAGTTGCTTTGTGTGAAAGAGCAGCCATAAAACTGGCAGCTGCCTGCAGACCATAAACCCCAGACCCCTAATAGCCACTTCACAAGGATTTCCCTGATACAAGTAAATACAAAATCTTGTATATTTCCATGATGGAGCATACAAGGTTAAAGCTACTGTATATATCGAGGCATGTTTTTTCTCAAACTACAACCATGGCAGTAATGTTCAGTCCCCAGATTGTGGCTGAGAGCAATAAAGCCTGTCAAAGCACTGGGGTGAAAGAGGTGGTGGGAGTAGCTGTTGTGCCTCCCAAATTGCTTCCCAAGTATGTTGCCAAGTTACAGTTGGAATGCCTCCCTCATTGTGCCACTCAAAGTCACTTTCTCCAAGGAGCAGACCCAAATGTGTATATTTTCATGCTGAGATGCAATTTTCAATCATTTAATCCAAAGCTTGTTAGGAAGTCAACTTTTTGGACGTCTGGTAAGTGCTTGTGGCTTACCGTCAAAAGCATCTTCATCCTTGTCGGCGCGCTCTGACTGCAGTGACCCTCCATCGTTGTTGCTGTCAACTTCCTCCTCATCATCGGAGTCATCTCCACCTAGAGTACACAAAAAGTGCAGTTAAGTGTAGTTACGGTACATGTTATATTGTAACACAGCGAGTCCCAACCTGTTGTGCAATTGTATCAGGTGTGAGCATTGTATTTGAAGAGTGATTTCCCCTTTTCAGACTGTTTTTCATGCTGTGACCTCTTGTGTGGGTCCCGACTCCCAGGTTGGGAACCACTGGTATATTAAGTAAAGTTGAAAACCAACACTCACTTTTGTCCTTGAAATCGTGTGGGAAACTGTTGGGGGAAACAGTAAATTGGTGTTAACAATTATCATGTTTTGCATTAGGATCTTCAAAACCACTATCTGATGTATATGCAAACAGACAACCTACCCCAACTTGACCTCTTTAATCCGCTTGATGAAGGCGTCCCTCTTCTCTTTTGCCTTCTTGCTTAGATTTTCCCCTTTTAATCCATCGGAGAGAAAATATTCTAGGTCTAGATGCAAAAAAAAAAAAAAACACACACCAGGTAAAACATTCATAATCACCACATACTGATTGTGACGTTTTCTTTTTTGCAGCCAAATTGCCCACTACTGCCAGAGATCATATTCCCTTTCAAAAGCACAATACATGAGTTTGTAGCTTTGGCGTGCATTGTCTAAAACTCATCAGCATGAATGAAATAGCAGCAGTTCTGTGGTGCTTAGTCGTACAGAGTCTGCGCTTCCTCTTTTTCTTTACGAAAGGGTCTCTTAAAAGCTAGACTTTGTGGCACGAGCGCTCACTGAAGAAGGAAAACAACCCGCGTGGGCAAACAAACATTATCTTATGAAGGTTTTACCTGAAATCAGCGTCGTGAACTCCTCGGGAGTCGCACGCATTGTTATGAGAGTTTGTTCGTGGCAGCAGTGGACCGTCCAACGAGGGGAACTTCACATGATACGGAAGCAGCAGTGAGTTCACGGACACGGAAGTTAATCTGCTAATTATTTATAACTGACCACACAGTTCCGCTGCAGAAATAAACACTGAAAACTGCCTTACTCAACATCCAAACTGGCGTGTATTACTCCATCAGATGTTGTGTGTGTGTGTGTGTGTGTGTGCATATATAGTTGTGTCTGCTACTGATTACGGGAGTTGATGCTTTAATGGAGCGACGAGTCTTTACAGACTAATAAAGTCAGCGGATAACGCATGATCATATTTTGATTGATTCCAGATAATATTTCTCTGGCACTTAAGACTGTGACTGACTCACTGGACACATTTTGTGAGTGTCTTTTTTACAGTGATGCAAGCACTTTGGATTTATGAATATGTCAACATTGTAAATCTAAACAGGGATCATTAATAGGCTTTGGCAATTATATAAAACTGTTCTGCAGGGTTCTTTGCAAGTTTTTCTTTCGCCGTTGAGCAACATAGATGTTTGAAGGAGCCTGTGCAACTTCTGCTGCATTGGTTTATTACTGCACATTTTAAATATTTGCATCATTGGCATCTCATTTGCGAGTCAGTTTGTAATCAGTTTCTATTGTACAATCAATGACAAATACAATTGTCCCATCCTGTCTGATGCAATCAATGCACCAGTGCAAGTAAAACAAAATAACAACTCACTAATTGTATAAAGGGAAACCTGTGCCTCATGTGTATTCAGTGAAGCAGCCGGTCGTCATATTGTTTACAAAGGTGTCCGTTATTCACTAGTCATCTTTTGACAGGAAGAATCACCCAATCCAGGTTTGAAGACTGAGCCTTTGAACTGTATAGCCTGTTGTTGTGGAGAAATGAGACAGAAATGTCAGTGCAGCTCTGGAGGGGCTGTATGAAAAGCTTTAGCTTTTACTTTAGCTGCAGGTGGTGGATGGAGTTTGTCAGTGTTGCCAGACACACAGACTCTTCCCCATGAGACACTTTATTTACTCTAGCTTCAGTCCAGCTTTGGAAAAGACTTAACATCCACACAACATCCATTTTTATTTGTCTATCAGCTCCTCAGAGAGGAAAAGTTGGTTTGATGATTTAAATCCAAAGATAGTTCATACAGAAAAACAGTGATGCTTCTTTCTACACACTTTTTCTTCATATCTTTGATTGAGTGTGAAAATGTTATGGATGTTAATTCAGAATCATCCTGAGAAAAGGAGCACCAGCCCTTTAAGTCTTAGTCTGATTGGCGATGATTGCATTCCACAGCTAAGATCATATTCTGCATGAATATTATTGTATTTGCACACACACTCTGACTTCCTGTTAGGAGTTATCTGAGTAACCGGTACATTCTTTATGAGCCACAAATCCTCTGAGGTCATTCAAAACCTGACCCCCTCCTGACCTGGCAGTAGTTCCTCCCAGCTTGGAGCGGAAAGGAGAGCCAGCTTGACCTTCGACCTGTGTGTGCGTGTGTGTGTGTGTGTGTGTGTGTGGAGGGAGGGATCTGCTGGCACAGTGTTGTTTCCTATTTCCCATAAAGCTTCATCTCCTCCTTGTGATTGGTTCCTCTCCTTTCACTCATTACCTGTTTATGATTTACTGGATGACCAAGCTTCTCAAAGTCACCAAACTCTTTCATGTAACCATACATGACAAAGAAATTCGATAATTAAATTCATGAATGTGATGATTAACTATGCAATAATTTGTAATGGTGAAATCAGTGGATGTGGAAAAAAAGCATGATGTATCCCACGTTTTATTTCGTGCTCATTAAAAGGGACTATAGAGTGTGCCCTTGGAATAAGGACTGCCCTTTTTTTAAACACTGAGCATGTATTTGTGGTTAATCTAGCCTGTAGACTCTGTAGACACTGACATGTTGACACAGTGTGAACATACTATTTAAAATGAGCTCAGCAGCACCAAAACCAAATCTGACTTTCTCTCTGCCTCCTGCCTTTTAGAGTTTTCCGACCTATTTTCAAGAGGTTCACAATTCGCCATCATTTAGTACCATATCTCAGTAGGAATATTAGTTCACCACCTCGCTTCACCTTTTTTTTTTATCATTGCTGTGAGGCTCAAAGTATAACCGCACAATCCTGAGATGCGGAGGCTATAAATGAATCACGTTGCCTGCAGACTCTCGTCAGAGTAATTGATCAGCGTGATTGTTAATCTTGTGGTTCCTGGAACAATCTCTGGCTTTTCATCGACCATTGCCCCTAAAGATTTAATATCAGCATCCTATTAAAAAACAGCCACCACGGCTGTGACATTGTGGCTTCTCTGCGCTTCATCGAGCCGAGGCTCAACTGGTCGGTGTGAGGGATTCCTTTAGCCGCATGGACGGAATCAATTTGGTCCATATTAACCTTCATTAAAACAAAAATACTATAAATACATTTTGCTATTTACCTGTCTGTTGTGCTACTGTGTTACAAGTACAGAACAATATAAATTAACATTTGAAACAATTTAGGGCAAAAAAAAGTATTATTAAATTGTTGAATTAACCGTAAATAATTTGAAATCATAAAAAGTTTTGAAAAAACATAATGGCGTATAAAACGCGATTCTAAATTTCAAAAGTATTGTATACTGCGGATCAGGCTATAAACAAGCACCATCAGTGCTGTGAGTTTTATAGGCAATAAAATTTAATTAGAGAGCCAAGAAAAGTCACAGCTTTTGGGCTGGGACTCCTAGCAGGCAACTCTCACTGCAAATGTTCTTTTTCTGGGTTTCAACATGAGGGGGCAATGAATCTGCTTTTTTTCTGATTTGATAAATCACTGAGGTTTGTATACCAGAAGCATGGTCACGTTGAAAAAAAAAAGATTTCAACTAAATCAATGAAAATAAACAAAGATTAAAAAAAACAAAAACTGGGCTTCAAATACTCTTTTTAATTTCTTTTACTTGCATGTTAATTGTATCACATAGTGCGCTGTGCTCACTGCATATATTTGGTTATTTGTTAGGGGAAGTTTGAGATTATAAAATCAACAGTTTCTTCACAAGAACATATTAACGGAGACTATAATTCAGAAAATATCCCGTGGCTTTTAAATTAAACAGTTTATAATATCCTTATTTGAATACTGTGAGAAACTACATTCAGCATTATGAATTATGCATGAACATAATTAATTTCTCCTCTGGCCGATATTTTTATATATTTATGTTTTATTTTAAAGGCCTACAATCAATAAGCTCTCCAAACTTTCTCACGGTGAAATAAGACAATAGCGCTGCTGTTTCCAATCAATGCAAAGTTTTATTTCAAGAAAAATATTCTGCTCAGTTATAGTCGAATCCATATAAAAATAAACTCTCCTCTCGCAGCCTAATGGAATAAACTACCCATAGGCTAAATAGCTGTGTTGCTTTTGCTTTAACTTACCTTATTTATGAGATCTATTATCGCTAAAACCGATTACAAAAACTGCACACAAGTTTCTGAATTCAAATAAAAAATGTTAAAATATTTCAGTAGCTCAAGTTTTGCAGTTCGATTGTTGTGAATGTTTCTGAGAAAAGGTCAAACGTTTCGGATGATAAAGACAGGGGACTTTGTGCCGAATCTGACAAACTTGGTGAGAAAGAGGAGGAGGGTGAGAAAACGTGGAAATCCTGCAAAGAAACGTCCAGGCCCGGGGAATGATCATTGTCCGGGCCTATTGTTGACACGCAGATAGCAACAGTGGGTGCCGGGTTAGGAAAATGTTTCAGATTTTTCTCATTGCTGTTCAAAGGCGTAACCGCCGGGCTTTGGTTCTCCTCATTGTGGCCGTTCTGACACTGTTGTGAAGTTAAGGTATTTTGGTGGAAATAGCTCTCCCTCTCCAGGAGCGTCCCAGCTGCGCTGCTGTCCACCGCCTGCTCAAACTCGTCCTCCGGCCCGTCGTCCAGACACGTGTATTTCCCCTCACTGTCCCGGTTCTCCTTGCAGTGGGTCTGCCTCTTGTGCTTCATYCTCCTGTTCTGAAACCACACTTTCACCTGCTTCTCAGTTAAATCCAGCAGAGAAGCTATTTCCACTCGCCTCGGTCTGCACAGGTATTTGTTGAAATGAAACTCTTTCTCCAGCTCCAGAAGTTGGGTGTTGGTGTACGCGGTCCTCAACCTCCGGGATGCCCCTCCACCTCCAACAAGAACTTCTGGCACCTCTGGTGAACCTAAAGAAATAAACCAAAGATTATATTTTTAATCAGACACATTAAACACATGCAGTTGTGTGTGTATG